CAGAGGAAACAGCAGGTAAAGAGTGGAGAGGATGCTGTACTTGCAGAAGTACAAAGGCTGTGAGAGTGTATGAAACATTGTTACTAAAATAGGCCACATGGGCTGGAATCTGAAATTTGGAAAAGGAGTGAGGCCTGATGTTAAAGAGGTAAAGTGAAAGCAGTTTTCTTCATTAGACATGGAAACACAAGGAAAAGAAGCAGGGCACATGCACATATGCAAGAGTGTATATACTGGTCTCAGTTGGTACCCTTAGGTGTGTGGGCTGGTGCTCACTTGCATTGAAGTAGGGGTTAAAATCCTTTTAAATATAATGTATGCTCCCAGACTGAGGAAGTCAGAAGTGTGTATAGGTAGCATATACTTTGCAGAGAAAATAACCTTATTAACAATTGAGAGAAATATCCTCTATTTCCCACTTCCAGGTATTCTTTCCTAAAGAAACTTATCTACATTAGAATTATATGTTCAAATGCCTTTGTTTCTGTTGGGAAAGAATCTTCCCGACTTCTTGTGTGAAAAGTTGTATTCTCAGTTTTTTATTCTCAAGGCAGTAGACCACTTACAAACTAAGTTATTCAGTTCCCTACCGATTAGCTGCAAAGAAGTGCTGGTTTAAGGGTCACTTAAACTCTATGCCTAAATAGACTGTCTCAAGATAGATTACCAGTAGGTTTCCACAGTCAGTACAAAGTTTACTGTTAAAAACATTTGTTAAAAGGTAATTAAAATATAAACATAGTTGGGCATCTTTGCAAGTTTCAGCATAGTATGTTTGAAAGACAACTTAGGAAACAGAAAAGGTACTCTACCTAAAGCCTCCCTGTTTTGTTTATGGAAAGGTTATTTGTATGATTTCATGTGGAGTATTTTCATGTGGAGTATTGCTGTATGCAACATTAATATTGGTGTCAGAGACAGTGGAACACGTTTTCAATTTAACCAATAAAATGTATATTAATATTAAGCACTAGGGATCCTATAAGATGCAGCTGTGCCCACAAAAAACTTCATTTTATGTGGATACAAGCATTAAAATATCCAGGATATGATATAAGTGCTCAAACAGAAGTATGTATACAACTTATTATAGGAGATTCAAGAGAAGACATCCTTCAACCTGGAGGGAAAAAAAATGATAAATAAGCAGTTCAGTATGATTTTTCTTCCCCAGTAACTAGATATGGGAGGGCTGAATCATTTTATATAGGTCAGAATAACATCTGATTAGCACTAACTTGTCTAATGTTTGATCTTAATTCAAATGAGTGAGAATGTTATTGGAATTTCTAGTTCTCTTATCTTTTAAAACAACCTGGTTTCCCTTATAAGTATTTTAAAAAGCAAATTATGTAATACACACCTGTTTAACTAGAAATGTTTCTTTAGATTATGTAATATATTGTATTTGAAAAGTCAAGTAACAAGCTAAAGTATCATAGTGTTTCTGAAAACACTATGATGTTATGTGGATATTATACTTTATATAAACTAAGACTTTTCTGAGACTCTGAAAGCTCTAAGACATAATTCTCTAAAACTGTGGGCAATTTTTGGTGCCTTGAAAGCAGAAATGTTTTATTATGAAACAGTGATGTTTTTGTCATTGTAATCTGAATTCTCTAATTTATTATGAATAAATTACAACTTTTAATCTGAGCAGTCTGCACTTTAAAATATTTTAAAGGGTTGTCTTTTGGCGAGTCAATTTGTATCAAGAATTTTATATTGATTACTTCCTCTATTTTTTCACATATAGGTGACTTCAGCTTCTATTATCAACAAAGCTGTGAATTTCTCTTGGTTCTTCCAAGCATTTCTTTAATTCATTTCTTTCTTTTCCAATATCCTTAATCTCAATAATCATATGGCAGTGCCACTGATTTTGAAGAACATTAATGGGATTACTGGACATGATATATTTCATTTTAAGAGCTAGTACTGTCTACTTTTCAAATTGTAGAAGAGAAAAATAATGGTGCTATTTCCATACTTCAATATACAATGTTATGTAAAAATGTAGCAAATGTACCAAGTTCATCAATGCTATTGCCTCCCCCCCCCCCGCCCCACGCGCTCCTCTTTTCTTTCCTGGTCCTCTCACCTTTAGAATTTTTCTAATCAAAATCATACTTCTCATTAGGGTCAGACTTTTTTTTTTAAATAGTACTTTTAAATTGGGTTGATATTGGTTATACAGAGGAAGGGAGAGAAAATGTGATGATGAATCTCTCATTGGTTATCCAGGCAAAAATTTGTTTTGAGTTGTTTCAGATCTCATTTGCTTTTTGATGCTTTTAGAAGAAAGTGGTATCAAAGCATTTTCCTGCACCACTAAAGATGGTAATTAACTTTACACCATCGCTCTTCATCATGGTTCATTAGTTTGCAAGTTTTTGGCCCTCAGAAACAAACTCTTAGTACTCATATCCTGTCTGGGTCCAGTAAATCATCTTGTACAAAAAGTACAACAATTTCTTTTATGAATAAAAATGTACATGGACTGAATTTTCTTAAGTGTATTTATATAATTTTTTAGTAATAAGGGCACTATGGTAAAAAACAAATTTATATTGAGTAAGTTGCATGTATAACTTTTATTTGCAAAGGATGATTTACTAGAACCAACTAACAATATTTCTAAAATTTATGCATACATACACATTATATATAGACAACATAAATTGGCTTTTCTGTTGAAATTTTCATGTTATAAATATATTTTGTGAGATGAGAAATTTTGGTAAAAAGACTCGCATTATACATAGTTGTTTTGATCTAGCTGAATTGACAGAAAAAGTACTTTTTTACTGATACTAGGTCAGGTTGATCTGATGGGAAAACCAGGAGTTCTAAAAAATTTATAGGTGTTGGCAGTTACATTAAAGTACTGTTCAGTTAAAAGCAGTGACAGTTTATTTCACAGGTTGCCTGAGTCAAGTGGAACTTGCTGTTTTGATATTTTGCCTGACTTTTTTTTTTTCCATCTACAAACAAACTAGTGCCTTGTAGAAATAATTTTTAAATGTAGTCAAACTGAAATGTACTAATCTAACCAATATATTTTATTAACTGGAATGGTAATACTTTTTTAGTGGTACTTGCCTAACACTGGGTTTGTGTATTTCTTCACACATTCTGTTAAGTGAACACTTGCCAAAGCAAATATCTGAATGATATTTATACCAGATTGTTTCTATGTAGGAACACTATGTTACACTGCTTGCTTCCTTGAAGTATTTCAGATTAGAAGTTGTGAATGTTGAATACAAACTTTGGCTACTTTTTTTTTTAATGCTACTTTAAAGTACAGTTTTCACAGCTGAAATTTTCTGGTAAAAGGTAATCACAAACCAGGATCTAAATAAAGCACAATGATTATTCAATTTGTTAATCAATTCTAGATGCTAATATATTATCAAACATTATAAACCAAATTTTTCTAAGGAAGTGTATAAAAGTATTGACCTAATAAAACAAGAGAATGTCAAAATAGTTTAGGCAGGAATTCTTTTTCATTTGTTTTGAGTGCTGCTTGCATTGGGACTTTTTAGTAAATATGAATGGCCTCTGATCTTGTTCATTGCTTGGAATGCTGAGGAAAGAGAGTTACTCAATCCTTCAGAGAAGGTGGCAGATGCTGGGCCTGGGTGCTCCAGAATACCTCTGAAGTGCCATGAGCTGCATGTGGAAGGGCCAAGCAGGCAATTCCTCACTTCCTATTTAACACACTGTACTCTGGTTAGGAAACTCCTTTAGTATCTGTTCCACATATTTGAAATTCTGTGTAAGAATGAGTTTGAGTAAACTGAATTCTGTTCTTAAAAGAAAATTTAAAAACCTTGGAATGGCAATGGGTAATAATTATGAGACATGTATCAGGGGGATAAAAAAAGAGGGAAGTGTCTATAGGGACCCAAATCTGAAATGATGTCACTCTTAGTAGCGGGCACAAGAAAATCCTACCAATTGCACTCTAAAATAAGGAAATTAAGGGTTTTGGCTTTTTTTTTTTTTTTTTTGGCAAGTAAAACCATGTTTCCTTTCTCTCTCACTCTCTTATTTTCCTTTTACTTTGGTTGTAGATTTTAGTGTTCTAGACATTTGAACTGCACAAAGATAACAAGTAAAGTTTGGTAGAAAAACTGATAATGTGTTTCAGATGCAAGGACAGGTGGAAGCTGTACTAAAGACTAAGGATAAACTAGCTGACAGGAATCAGAATGATGAGATGCTGGACTTTCCATTGACACTAATGACACCAAGGAACTAGTTAATAAGAATCAGAACAGGATGCTGCAGTGTTCTACTGACAATAATGAACATCACATGGTCTAAGACATTCAGGAAGATCCTTTGGGAAGCCTTAGATCTTGAATTGCTCAAGTGAGAAGACAGAAGAAAAGAGATAGTATTTGTAGTAAAAGAAATAACAGGGATGAAGGAGGGGGAGAAGCATGTTTACTAAAGAGAAAGAAGATCATCTGAACGGATAGAAATGTTTGTGTCTGGGGGGATATAGCCTTGAAATGGTACTGGCTCTGGAACTGTATTAAAGAGAGGCTTGGAAGGCAAGTAGAGTTCACTGAATTTAAAGTATACAGAAGGGGCAACATAGTTCCACCACTGGTACTGAGCAAAGTGCTTTAGGCACTTTGACTGGCATGTTCTGAGCATTCCAAGCACTTTTCTTTTACTATCTTAAATTTTTGATGATGGAACAAAAATTAATGGTATATCACAAAATACTAGATTATTTTTGAAGATTTAAAATTATATATGCTGTAGTAGACACAATTGTGTGGGGGAGAAAAAAGCTTCGCTAGAGCACCAATAACATAACCCACCTCTTTTATGTCAGAATGATTTAATAAATAGATTTGATTTTTATTACCCTTTTAAAATCAGAATTTGGAAAACACATCTCAAAATTTTGCTTATGGTAAGCTCTATTAATTTGAGAAATGGTATTTAAAGTAAAATATTCTTTATTAGGGTGATCCAGAAATGTTATTGATTATACTAGAAAAGCAATGGATATTACTAAAGAATTAAAATTGGGAAAAGAACTTTCTTTAGGAAGATTTGAGTCAAGTCTGGAGAAGTATTCTTTTCCATGTATAGCTTTTGCTTCTGTTTCTTCATATGCAAGACATGCAGACAAAATTTTACCTGGTATGAATAAAAAAATAATATGAAGAAAGAATCAGTGGACTGACAATAACTTTCTAAGATTAATTCAATAAATGGTAATGGAAGAATTAATATAATATTAATTTAAAAATTAATAAATTAAATTAGCATTCTTTTAAAGTAAATCAGCATTCTTTTAAAGTAACAGATCCTGATATAAAAGTTAGAACAGATCTAAAATAATTCTCCAAAAGAATTCTTAACTTCTAAATACATTTCTTCAATTTCCACACTTTTTAGACCACCCAGTTAAAATGCTGTTTCTTCTCTTCTTCCCTTTTCTTCTCTTATGTTCATTGTCATTTCTAGGTAGGTGTATGTTTATATTCATGCATGTGACATCATTGTCCTTACTCAAATCAGATACAAAGAAAAGCATCTTTTCTAAGCAGCAAAACTTTCTGGATGCGTACTATAAAATGTTTGTTGAGGGTGCACATGAGAGGTCTGTCAAAAGGTTTGTTTGAATAGTGGTAATTGGACAATATTCTAATGTGAGTGTCTTCTGTGACTGTAGGGATTCTGTTTTTCTTAGATAGACATGCATACTTGGAAAGAGCTGCCTTTAAGTCATACTGTTAGGAAGGGGAGGAGAGAATAAGGAGATGGCTAGAGATCAGATCACGTCAGGTAGCAAATGCCTGTAATCTCAGTGACTCAGGAGGTTGAGACAGAAGGATTGCCAAGTTCAAGGCCAGCCTTAGCAACTTAGCAAGACCCTGTCACAAAATAAAAATAAAAAAAGGCATGAGGGTTCAGCTCAGTGATAAAGCACCTTATGGTTCAATCCCCAGTACTGGGGGAGGGGGGAACCTAAAATCTTAAGACAAAGATGTATTTCATATTGAAAAATTTTCACAAAAACTCTTTGAAAAAACTAACTAAAATTTGGAATTTGTAACTCATGGATGAACTATATGTTTTATCAACTTGCTCAATGAGAGGGATAGTAAAACTGTTAATTAGAATACATTTGACTATAAGTAACAGAAAATGCAGGAATGAAAGCTAGTTTAAAAAATTTTTAAGTTAAGACAATGTCAGATTTGGCTAATTCAGCAGTTCAATTAATTCTTCATTGAGGTAGGATCTTTGCAAATTTCTGTTTTGTCATTCTTAGCATCTAGGATTACCAGACTAAATATAAAACATCCACTTAAATTTGAATTTCAGATAAGCAATTTATAATTTTAAAGGTATAAGACATGCAATATTTTTTTGTTATTCGAAATTCAAATTTGACAGGGTCCCTACTTTCCTATTTCTTTAAACTGGGAAACTTATGAGCAAATTGTCTTTTTAGGTAAGTTTCTCTCCTGGTCACAAGGTGGCTGCCATAAGTTTTTGTGTCACATATAGAAGCCAACATTCAGTGGCATAAAAAGGATTCTGTTGATAAAGATGAAGGTGAAACAGTGGTGGCTTGCAAGGTAATTAACAATGTAGGTCACCAAAGCAAAAATGTTTGTTGACTAAAACATAGTTCCTCTAATATCAGATACTTTTGTAAGAAGATGTAATTTATCCTGCTTTTTTATGGGAAATAGAAATAATTTTTAGATTAACTAATTTATTTATTATATTAGGTATATATGACAACAGAATGCATTTTGATTCATTGTACTCAATTGCAGCACAACTTTTCATTTCTCTGGTTGTACACAATGTAGCGTTATACCATATGTGCAAACATGTAACTAGGGTAAGAATTTCCATCTCATTCCACCATCTTTCCTGCCCATACCCTTTCTCCCATCCTCTCCCTCCCCTTTGCCCAATCACAGTTTCTCCATTTTTCCCATGCCCCTCCCCCATTATGGATCAGCATCCACTTATGAGAGAACATACATGGCCTTTGGTTTTTTTGGGATTGTCTTACTTCATTTAGCATATTCTCCAACTCCATCCATTTACATGCAAATGCAAAAATTTTATTTATCTTTTAATGCTGAGTAATATTCCATTGTGTATACATACCACAGTTTCTTTAACCATTAATCTATTGAAGGGCATCTAGTTTGCTTCCACAGTTTAGCTATTGTGAATTGAGCTACTATAAACATTGATGTGGTTGTGTTACTAAAGCATGCTGATTCTAATTCCTTTGGGTATAAACTGAGGAGTGGGATAGCTGGGTCAAATGTTGGTTCCATTCCCAGTTTCCCAAGGAATCTCCATGCTGCTTTCCATATTGACTGCACCAATTTGCCGTCCACCAGCAATGTATGAGTGTGCCTTTTCCCCCACATCCTTGCCAACACTTATTGTTGCTTGTACTCTTGACAACTGCAATTCTGACTGGCATGAGATGAAATCTTAAGAGCAGTTTTGATTTGTATTTCTCTAATTACTAGAGATGATGAACACTCTTTATTTCATACATTTGTTGATCAATTGTATATCTTTTTCTGAGAAGTGTCTGTTCAGCTTCTTAGCCCATTTATTAATTGGGTTGTTTGTTTTTTTGGTGTTAAGTTTTTTGAGTTCTTTATATATTCTAGAGATTAGTGCTCTATCTGATGTGCATGTGGCAAAAATTTGCTCCCCAAAATGTGGGCTCTCTCTTCACCTCATTGATTGTTTCTTTTGCTGAGAAGAAGCTTTTTAGTTTGGATCCATCTCATTTATTGATTCTTGATTTTATTTCTTGCTTTTTGATTCAGCGATAGGATATGGATCAACTGTCATATTATGCAGAGACCTCTGTTCTTTTTGGATCTGTAAAAATTGATATTTTGTTTCTGAGAACTTTAGCTTTATTAGAGCTGAGAAAATCCCCATATCACTGCATCTGAAATAATTAAAACAATTTTTAGTGAATATTCTGAACGAGTGGAAGAAGATGGCTATCTGCAGATTCTATACTATCTCTAGGGCACACATTAGGTTGTTCTCCATGTGGAAGGTTGGTGGTTCTCTCCTCATTGAGTGGTTCACATTACCCGTAGCTCAATTTCCCTTCTCTTTCCACTTGCTCCCTTTCAAAAATACCCAATCTTTAGCCCTATTTGTATTTAAGTGATAATGGTTTTAAATGAGCTAGATAAACTAATCTGTATTAATATTTACTTTGCTAATGTGTTGGACCTCTGAGGTAATTTAAGGCTTTAATCATTTAATCATTCCTAAAGTTCAACCTTTTAAAAGCTCTCTAGGAATGCTGCCAGATAGGCACCTTAGGGACATGGAAATTTTGGCTTTCCCATCATACTCACAGAGGCAGGTGGCTACAAGAAAGGTTTTCTTCTATGACTCTTGTCTAGAGTCTGTTCACTACATCAGCTTGGTGTCCTAACTTCCCCATATTTCACTGCAAACCATTGGGCTCTACAGTCCTTTTCTCCACCCATTTCCTGTCTCATCCTGAGTGATTCAAACATGACTTGTAAGGATGCCCCACCTAACACCTTTATATCACAACTTCTTGACCTTCTCTGATGCACAGGCCTTTTCTTTGGACTTAAGTATTCACTACCATGGACCATATGCCACCCACAGTGCTACCTAATTTTCCTAGCAACCCTGTGTCTCCTCCTCTGTCAAACTAGTTCCTTGTGTGATCTGTGTTTCCTGAATTTTCCTGGTCATCAAGATCACTGGAATGCTTCATAATCACAAGCCCCTCCCTAGAGACAGATTCAGATCCCAGGTCTAGCCTTGTCTTGCAGAAACTGCATGTGTGCCAAATAGGTAAAAGCAATTCTAATGTCTCTACTGAATCCAGTAGATTCATGAATATGCTTTCAACATGTAATCAGTATAAAAGTAGTAATGAGATATTGTTACACCCCCATAGTTACATTTCCCATAGTTACACTTCAAAATCATACTGTCTTAGATCTAAATTCCTACTTCTTTCAACTATCACTCTTTTTTTAAACATTTATCAGACTACTTTAATGACTTCACAAGAGATCTAAAATCTTTCAGAAAATAGCAAAGGATCAGTTCTCTGAGCCACTCCACAGGCCTACTTCCTCCATTCTTGCCCTCCCTCTTCTGTCTAGCCTGCATCCTATAATTTATCCCAGCAATTAAGCCCTCAACTTCCTCTGCCTTTCCAACTTCCATTACACTCAACATCTGAACTCCTATCCTAAATGAAAGAGTCTTTTGCAATTCAAAACCAATGTAGTCAAACCTGCTAAATAGAGCCATATATCATTGGCATGTGTCCCCCTAAGATGCTCAACAACAAGAAGGCATCAATTGTGGAGTGGTCAAGAGCATGGAGCTCATTTCCCAACTCCACCATATATATGTGGGGTGCCCATGGGAAAACAGCATGACTGCTTCATACCTCACTGTCTTCACCTGCAAAGGGGATGATAATTTAACATACCTTTCAGGTTTATTAGGAATGAACAAACTAATGTTTATAAGGTGCTTAGTTATATAATTGTTGTATAAATAAAAGTTCTACCTCTCCTTTGTGGTTCTCTGTTCATAATTAGTTACAGCTATTCCAAAGCTTCATTCTTTGTAATTCTCCAAACAGCTCAGGCTCAATCACTTCAGCAGATGATGTGATCTAATTCTCAGAATAAATGTGTATATTTGTGTATGTATGTGTACACATATACATACATGTAGTAGGTATGAATTTCTTCAAATAATCTCCCTCTGAGAAGCCCCAGGACATTGGTCTGGGCAATGACTTTTTTGAATATGACTCCCAAAGCACTAGCAATTACAGCAAAATAGACAAATTAAGTTACACCAAACTAAAACATTCTATATAGCGAAGGAACCAGTCAACAGAGTGAAGAGACAGAAGAATACCTATGAAAAGTATATTATCTGATAAGTGGTTAATATTCAAAATATATAAGAAAAGCAAACAAGCCAATAGCAATAAAACAAACTGATTTAAAAATGGAAAAATAACCTGAACAGACGCTTGTCAAAAGAAAATAAACAAATGGCCAACAGGTTTATGGAAAAAGGCCAAAGATTGGTTATCATCTGGGAAATGCAAATTAAAACCACAGTGAGATATCATCTCACAGCTGTTAGAATCACTTTTATCAAAAAGACAAAAGATAACAGGTGTTGGTTATCTTGCACACTGTTGGGGAAATGTAAATTTATACAGTCATTATGGAAAATGGTATGGAGATTCCTTGAAATAGTAAATATAGGACTACCATATGAACCAGCAACCGAAATCAATATGTTGAAAAGATATCTGTGCTCCTATGTCTATTGCAGATTTTCCATTTCAGACAATATGAAAGAACATGGAGGACATTATATTGAGTGACATAAGCAAGCCACAGAAAAACAAATGCTCTACAATCTCATCATATGTTGTTTCTAAAGCCATTCATCTTACAGAAGTAGAAAGTAGAATGGTGATGGTAATATGCTGTAGTGGTTGGGGTTGGAAATGTGGAGATGTTTATCAAAGGATACAAACCCAGTTATTCCACTCCTCAGTCTATACCCAAAGGACTTAAAAACAGCATACTACTGGGACACAGTCACATCATTATTTATAACAGCACAATTCACAATAGCTAAACTGTGGAACCAATTTAGATGCCCATCAGTTGATGAATGGGTAAAGAAACTGTGGTATATATATACACAATGGAATACTATTCAGAATTAAAAGGGAATAAAATCATGGCATTTGCAGGTAAACAGATTGAGTTGGAGAATATAATGCAAAGCGAAGTTAGCCAATTCCAAAAAAAAAAAAAAAAAAAAAAAAAACAAGTACGGAGGTTTTCTCTGATGTAAGAATATTGATTCATAATGAGATTGGGGAGTAGAGCATGGGAGGACTAGACAAACTGTAGTTAGAGAAAAGGGGAGGGAGGGAAAGAGAGGGGGCATGGGGTTAGGAAAGATGGTGGAATGAGATGGACATCAATACCCTAAGTACATGTATGAAGACACCAATGGTGTGACTCTACTTTGTGTACAACCAGAGATATGAAAAATTGTGTTCTGTATGTATAATTTGAATTGTAATGCATTCTGCTGGCATATATAACAAATTAGAATTAAAAAAATTAAAATAAGGGCTGAGGATGTTACTGAGTGGTTAAGCACCCCTAGGTTCAATTCCTGGTACTAAAAAAAAAAAAAAAAAAAAAAGACATAAAACTGCAGTTAGATAAGAGGAATAAGTTAAGAAATCTATGATATGGTGACTATAGTTATAATAATATATTGTATTATTAAAAAATGCTGAAAGAGTGTATATGAAGTATTCCTTCCACAAACACTATAACTACATTAGGTATGTATAGGTTAATTATCTAGATTTGATCATTCCATGGTGTAAATATACTTTAAGACACCATGTTTTAAACTGCAAATACATATTTTTTCTGTTAATTTTAAAAATAAAAGTAACAAAAATTCCCACCTTTAAAAAATTGATCTCCTCCTGAAAATGTAACATTGGTACATCTGAATCTCCTTTCCATCTAAAAGAAAGAAATGACCTTCTAAAATTAAGTGGATTAGATGTTAAGCATCAAATGTAGGATTGAAGAATGACTTTGAAGGTTTTCTGGGGGGATTATTCCTAATAATCAATAAAAACCTCCAAAATAATTCTTCAACCCTACATTTCCTTTTAACTATTTCTTTTCTCATCATCATTCCATTCATGCATGATGCCTACATTTATTGTTTCTGTTTTATCTCAGAAATGATAATAATTATAAGAAGCTATAATATTAAAATCAACTGGGATAACTCAGAGGTATTAAAACTTCACTTTTTCTTCAGCTTTAGCCATGCCTAGACTTTGGTGATTTTTTATGGTCATTTATTTATATTATGGTTTTCCTGCTCTTTTGTTTTATATTGGTAAATTAATTGTTTAATTTGAATACCCCTGCAATTTCCTGTATCACTCTTCTAAAAGAAACAAGCCCACAGATTTTCACTCTAATTGAGTCTTCATTTTTCACCATCTCATGGCAATTATTGTCAAGGTCAGTAATAACATCATATTCTGCCACATTCAGAGGCCAGTTTTTAGTTTCCATCTTAACTAGCATCTCAGAAAATTGGTAAAATTGATCATTACTTACTATTTAAAACTTTTTTTTTTTTCTTTTCAATTACCTTCTGGACACCACTTTGGATTTTCTCCTTACTTCATCAGTTGATTTTTCTCAGCCTCTTTTGCTGGATTTTGCCTCTAACATGTGGAGTATCTTACAAGGTTTTTTTTTGTTTTGTTTTTTTTTTTAGTTTTAGATACCATCTATTTGTTTATGAGTCCTTAAAATTTATGCTAGCACTAGTTTTTCTCCTGAACTCTATCTTCATATTCAACATCTCCACTTGGATATCTAATAATTCCTTCTAATTTAACACAGACAACCAACTTTTGTTTCTCCCCAAAATTCTCCATTATAAATCTCCTCCATCTCAGTGTTCTTACTCCAGTCTTCTGGTTGCTCAGGTACAAAAATGTGGAATCATTATGGTCTCCTTTCTTTCTTTTACATACTCTTCCAATCCATAAGCAAAAAATCCTACTGGCCTTATCTTGAAGATACATCCACAATACCTACCATTTCCAGAGCTCTTTCTCTGGTACAAGCCTTCATTATTTCATAAACCTCCTGGGTTTTCTCCCTACTTCTATCTCTATCCCATTAGTCAATTTTATAAATAGCAGCCAGAGTTAGTCTTTTAAAACATGAGTTGGATCATGTCATTCCTTTGCTTAACATCCTAAATAACCTCTGCTCTCACAAATTAAAAGTGACCTAAAAACCCAATGTGATATGCTTCTCTCCTCTCCTCACCCATGGAGAATGTGTAAACTTAAAGATTGAGACACTCAGAATTATGACAGTACAGCTGGTAGGAAAATAAAAGCCAGCGAAGGAGACTGAAAAGTAGGAGAATCCGGAAATATAACATCAAGAAAGAAATGAGAGAAGTAGTGAATACTGCTGACTTTTATGGATAAGTATAAAATGAGGGCTGGAAAATATTCACTGGAATATCCTTCCAGAGAAATGTTTGACACTTACTGCATGGGGCAAACCAACGTAACTGTGTGAATGATGAGCCATTTTAGAGAGCATTTATGATTGTTGCCTTTATAGGTTTACAATAATTTTTGAGGGGGAAATAAGATGTTTGATCAGGATCATAGAGAAAGATGGATATCTGATATTAATGACTTAAAAATACACATACCCAGGGGCTGGGGTTGTGGCTCGGTGGTACAGCATTTGTCTAGCATGTGTGAGGCACTGGGTTTGATTCTCAGCACCACATAAAAATAAATAAATAAAAATAAAGGTTCATCCACAACTAAAAATAACACACACACACACAAACACACACAATTTAAGCTAAACTTTTATCAGGAGTTCTATATCTGAACGTTTAAGGATACATACCTATCAATGTCTTACAGCACTTCATGTTTAAGACATTTAGCATTCCACTAATTTCCTTTTTTCTGCCTTGTTTTTCTTACTCTCAAATTATTCCCAAATAACCAATCTGTATAAATTCTCTATCATGTTAAATGACACCAACACCCATCCAATTATCTAAAGGAGAACCCAGGCCTTGACAAGGACATTCTGAGTTTTCCTCTTTGTCCATTTCTAATCTGTCAAATCTGAATGTAGCCCTTTCCCATTGCTCTAAGGCAGATTTTAATCAACCGTATCCACCACCCACATGCTAATAAGTTCCTAACTGGTTCCTTTATTTGTTGCTTCCTAACTCTTTAACTACACAGTTAACTAGTTATCTTACAACAGAGTACTTCAGTTAAAAACTGAAAATTGCTTCTGACTTCCCACTGGCAATAAGACAGTCCCTTAGAACAGCATACTAAGACCTTTGAAAACTGGCCCTCACCTACCTTTCCAACCTCAATGATAATAGCAATTATGATAATTCCCCGCTTGTCTTAAAATATTCAAACTGTAGTACATTGTAGGGGGTCATTCACATATTTCCCTGTACTTATAGTTCTGAACTAAATAGCTAGAGCTTTTGAAGTTCAAGTACCCCACCCTCAAAACGTGAACACAATTTCAAAAAGTTTGGAAAGAGCCATAATGTTACACTTTAACGGAATATCTTTGTTCATTTCCCTTCTAATAGTCTTCTAGGAGTGGTCTTATTCTCATAGTGAATGTGTTTTTGCATATTTCCCCATATATTTGACTTAGCTATTCCTTGCTGTGTTACAGAAAAAGGTTATAAAAAGAACATATTTTTTTTTTTTTGAGAAAAAATGGAAGTAGAAATTTAAGGAAAGAAAAAAAAAAAAACAAGGGTGGGGACAAAATAGAGTATGAATAAGGTTCAAGATGCATACCATGATGACCTACTCATCTGTCATGGATGAGCCACATACTGGCTCTCAAGTTTTCCAGCAGGCAATGTAAAACTAGAAATTTTGTCAGTTATGTAGTTTCTAGTGCCCATGACATTAAAAAATATCCTGGTAATTTCAGCTGTTCTTGGAACATATATTATAAGGAGAAATTTCTCCTTAACTTCTCCTAAAGAGAATACAGGGTGACATTCTTCAGGTTTGGGAAGACTCCTTATTAGACACAGTGCCTTCTCATTTCATATCATTGCTTATATTGAGAACTGTTGTAGGCAGGTGCCACTGCATAAATCACAGAGTGATTGGGTAAAAACTGACTCTCTGGAAATCACTGGATATTTTCAAGGCACTCAGATCATTTCTGGTCTGCTATAAGTCATGGGTAAATGTTAAAATATTGAAATAAATATAAGACATATTCAGTAGTCATAATAGTAGCTGAATTTGTGTCCTTTAGAAAAACATTCTGAATATTGTTTCTACTCAAGTTAAAGGTTTCCTCTTTTAATTATTATTTCAGTTGTACAACATTATGGGGTACAGGGTGATAATTGGATATATGTAGACAGTGTGTAATGATGGAATCAGGACAGTTAACATTTCCCTCTCTTAAATTTGAACATTTAAGTTAGAGTTTAAATAGTTCTTAGTTAAAATCTTAAAAGTTTGGGTCCCATATATGTCAGTTGAGGTTTGTTTGGAAGTCAGATTTTAGTCTGAGAAGCCAAATTCCTCACTTTCTTATCATGAGCAGTATTCCCCTTGGGCAAGTCTTCTAAGTTCAAGAATGTGGCTGGACCAGGGGTGTTACAGTCTTGAGCTTTTCCTATAGTAGAAAATAATATGCTGTCCTAGAACACTCAAACACAAGTTGAATAACATATTTAGGTTTGTAGAAATTCTGTTCCCAGTCTTGTATGCTCTGCAGAAATATGGCAGGACGGAACTCTGAATTTTGGATCTGAAGTATCAACTTTAGTGAGAAATTTTAATATTACATGTTAAAAACCTAGATCTTTATTTTTCGTTTTCTGAGTGAGAAGATTAGATAAAATAAAAGCAGTTTTAATATTTTGGCCTTTATCAATGTTCGTAGGGCTACTGAGAAATCTAGTTTATACAAAAGGAACATTCTCCTGATTATCACTTATCTTAGACTTGCACATATATTTTCTCTGCTGAAATGTACATAGCTTATTTAGCCACATGGTTGCATTTTAAAAATATTTTAAACAACAATGTAAATATTTCAAGGCATAGCTAATCATTTGGTAGGAATAGGTCTATTACAGTTCTTCCCAGAGATGCAGGGGAACAGGATGACTGCTTGGTTGTTGAATGGATATCTCTCTATATCTACTGCAAACGGATTTATCAAATAATCTGCTTATAAATAGAGGCTTGTGGTATTTCGTGGTATTGTATGAAGATACCTGGTAAATTTTATCCAAATCGCTGCAATGGGCACCAGTATAACAGATATCAGAATTATCATACTTCTTTCTCTACCACTGCCACACCATGCCACTTCTCACTCCTACAGTCCTTAAAATGGTGATATAAGGTTTAGCAAGAAGCTATGTTTTCCCTATTGGTTTTAACTCAGGACACAGCTGCTTTAAAGAGTATCACCACATGATTAAACTTGCGTAGTCAAGGGCCTGGTAAGAACTGAAGTTTTCAAATGACATTGAAAACTTGACATATGCTAATTGCTAGACTTATATATAAATATAAAATTATATTTGTTCTAATTGCTATATTTTAAAAGGAATATTCTCTTTTATGATTTTGATTATATAATCACCAGAGTGAATATTTTTATTCATAGCATTTTCTTCTACTATATGAGATAAACAGTAAAGGTTGCAGCATAATTTATGGTGATAGTAAAAGAAAAACTAACTACATTATAAGAAGAAAGAATGAGAAAAGAAAAGAAAACATAAGCAAAGTGGAAAAAAGGAAGAAGAGGAATGAGATGAACACTCAGAAAGGCCATAGTGTAGGATGGTACTATAAGATTAGTCTATTTGGGTCATTATCATAACACCAAAACTTTACAGAATCTACCACAGTGTTAGAACTCAACAAATG